CAGCTTCTGGCACCCCAGCAGTTTGAAAGCACATTAAAAAATGCGAGTAGAAAAATAGGAACCACTTTTGGTGGGAAGGGAACAGCGTTCCGTGCGGCTTCGGGAGGGGAGTCATGCCGGCCACATGACCACCGAGACGTCTTCGGACAGCGCTGGCTCTTCGGCTTTGAAACAGAAATGAGCAGCGCCCCCTAGAGTCAGGAACAACTAGCACATACGTGGGAGGGGGAACCTTTACCTTCTATATACAAATTGCAACAAGAAGGGCTTATCCTGGTAGGGAAAAAATCTGTTTGCTCCAGGCTTAGGAGTGAACGAGCACCACGAATCTTGATTTCTGGCCAGCCAAACATTTCTAGAAAAGTGTATTTTGTGAGGATGCAATTTTGCAATTCTCCACGATTGCTTTTGGCGTCAGAGATGGCAAGATGGAGTGAATTTCCCCTGTTTTGTCCTCTTTCCAATTGTCTGATGCTGGGTGAATTTTCTGCACTTCTCTTCAACAGAGCTGTCCGTTGTCCTGAATCTCCTTCGCGAGCCCCGAGATTAGATTGGATCACCCAGAGCTCTGGTTCCTTTGATCTGTAATTGGAAAGAAGAGATCTTCCATCAGAGGCTCCCTGGTTGAGAATCAATCCTGGGGAAGGGAAAGGAAGTTGTGTGAGAAAAAAGGGAGGGAGGGAAGGAAGGAAGGAAGGAGTGAGTTTGTGTGAGAAAGAGGAAGGAAGGTAAATTAAGTTCAAGGAAGGAAGGAAACTTTGTAAGAAGTATGTAAATTATGGGAAGGAAGGAAAGAAGGAAGGAAGGAAAGGAAGGAAGGGAATTTGTGTGAGAAAGAGGAAGGAAGGGAGGTAAATTAAGTTCAAGGAAGGAAGGAAACTTTGTAAGAAGTATGTAAATTATAAGAAGGAAGGAAAGAAGGAAGGAAGGAAAGAAAGGAAAGGAATTTGTGTGAGAAAGAGGAAGGAAGGTAAATTGAGTTCAAGGAAGGAAGGAAATTTTGTAAGAAGTATGTAAATATAGGAAGGAAAGAAGGAAGGAAAGGAAAGAAAGAAAAGGAAGGGAATTTGTGTGAGAAAGAGGAAGGAAGGAAGGTAAATTAAGTTCAAGGAAGGAAGGGAGAGAGAGAGAGAGAGAGAGGGAGCGAAAGAGAGAGGGAGAGGGAGGGGTAGGGGGAGATAGGACCCGGAGTGTTGTTGGGGGCAATATGCTGACTCTGTAAACCGCTTAGAGAGGGCTGGAAGCCCTATGAAG